TAAATTTTAGGCCTATGTAAGGGAATATCACCACAAAATATATGGCCTTATATGGTACAGTACCTCCATTTTAGGATCCTGAAGATCTCCCATTGAAACCAATGGATATGGCGATTTCCCCAGCACTATGAGGGACCCTCATGTCATCCGTATTGACCAGCGAAAATGTCACAACACCTGGGATATGCCAGCAAACATGGCGTCCTAAACTAACATGATGATGGTATAATCGGCACCTGATGAAAAAAATGCCCGTGTTGGTGAACTTGCTGAGCATGCTGGTATCAACAATGAAAAACCCTGGGCATATCAAACACCAGTGAGACCCCAAAAAGAGCACTGCAATACTACAAGTAGTGGACAATTTGACCACAACACACTGTTTGATGTGGCTAAGTTCCCCGCGAATTGGAGCGCTCAAAGGCCTACTGGGCATTGCATGGTATGCCTTGGCTCTGCAGATGTTGGGATTTCCAGATGTTCATGGGATTTCCAGATTTCCATGGGATTTCCATGGGATTTCCATGGGATTTTGCAGATTTCCAGTTGCGCCATGCTTGAGTCATGCCATGCCACAATCGCATGTTTTCCTTGTCGAGAATAGCCCTACCCCTCTGAAAAATATGACGAATCGTCAGTTGGGATGATGACATTCCCAATATGATGGGAAAAATAATGAAAAATAAAACATGTTCCAAAGCACCAACCAGATGGGGTGTTTTTGCACCAACGGTGCATTTTTTATATCTACCGCATCTGATTGCCTTTAAGTGAGAAAAGTGATGAGAATCCGATATAAGCCATATATAATCCATCAGATGGGGCGCCTTATGTTCAAACAAGTCCATCTATCATTTTACATGGTGACAATCCTGACATCAACCAATTCCCCCTGATCCGAGTCCCCGGGCCACGCTGTCAGGCGTCCTTAAGGCATGGTGGCTGATGATCCAAGAACCAACGATATCGTTTTTTTTCTTCGTATCATCGTCCCAAGCAATCCTTGAACATCACTAATACATGGGTGTGTCTGAAAATAGTGTACCCCTAAACCCAATGGTTAGTGATCATTATCCCTATTAAATGGCTATAATTGGGACTATACCCAATTTTCAGACAAACCCACTAATACATCTAATACTTGAAACCAGCAACATACATGACCCGGCTCCACCACGTGTCCACTAGGCAGTTTCTGAAAAAGTTGCTTCTCAAGAATGTGAATCTGTATTCTGATTTTTTTTACTTCCCGAACATTCAGGGTGGAAATCTTGAATCAATTGGGTTTTTCTGAAATTGGGTACCCCTAGATCTAGTGGTAAATCACCATTGTCCCTATCCATAACTGGGGGGCCAACCCTATATTTTCAGGCACGCAGTTGTATATTGTTGGTTAGATATCTCATTTCCCATGTTATTATAACCCCACTATTATATATATATAATATACATATATATATATATGATTTTCACATATTGTATACCGTATAAATCGAATGATATCCAATCAATATCCCGTTATCTTGCATTCTAAGGCCAAGGTCAGTGGCCGTATCCCCAGGATATCCCCATTAGATCGCCGTAAATACTAAAAGGGTCCAATATTGGATTATTTTTGTGGGCCCCCCACAGGCAATACCCATATTAGGGATAAGCCCACTTTAACAGTCTTTAACTGGTCAACAAGTCAATGGTGCCGTATCGGCTTATTGACAACCTGGTATTCTAGAAGTATCATATAACTGGTTAGTAACTGGGGTTGTTATCCCATAACACACACATATATATATATGTATATTATATTACAATAACCCCGCTGTTCATATGGGACTTACTAAGGTTATTAACCACCCACGTTGGGACCCTGGAACCCTGGCAGCCCATCGCGACTCCAAGCTGCTCCGGCAAGGCCAAGCTCATGCGTCTGGGGGACAGCCTCAGTGGCGATCTGGGGCTGTCCCAAATGTGAGTTACATATTGTAAGGTCCCCCAAAAAAACCTAGGTTGAGGGGGTGGGGATATGGTATATATATATATATACATATACATTTCTGGCTGAATACATATAGCCTATGGATCCCTATGGATCCAAACACTATCTGAGAAGGTACGGCTGGATCCATAGGGAAATTACATATTAATGGTCTAAAATAGTGGTATACAATAATCTGTGGTGGTATACCATTACAGACCAACAGTATATAATAATGGTATATAATCTGGATGAATTACAGTCATTCACTCACCTGAGAATAGCTGTTGCCCGAGGTGTTTCCCTAAGTGAGGTTTTCTATTGGGTTTACCACAGTACTCAGTGGCCCACATCTGCTGGCAAACCCTCATGGCAAGAACCTCTACAAAATCTTTAAACAAGAACATCCTAAGAGCATCCCACAAGAGCTTGCATATAAGCACCTCCACTATCATATTTTTTTAAATGTAAACTCTTAAGTGTGACAGTAGCTCCTTGGTTACCCATTTAGTATACGCAACATTGATATTAGCGCTCCGAGCAGCTCCCTCCTAACCACTGTCTGAAAATAGTGGAGAAAAAAAACCTCCAAATGGTACTTTGAATAGGGAAACTTATGAATCACCAATGGATTTAGAGCTATGTTCAGACAAACCCAGAAACAAGTCCTGGTGGATAAAAAATGCAGAACACGCGTCATAGATTGCAGCTGTTGTCATGGTGTCAAGTGTTCATGAGTTTTTTCAAGACATTTCTTACTGGAAAACTGATCATGTTTGCTTATCTCGAAATGAGGTACAGTATATTCCAAAGTTGAAATTCAACTGAGAAGAATCATGATGAACTGTTATGGGGGTATTTTACCCGTCTTCGGACCAACCCACATCTCATATTGGGACACCACATCTTCAAAGCACCGCCTGGAACCAAGAAACGCCTGCATCAGCGGCCTTTCATCAGCTTCCTCCGAAGACTCGAATAAGGTCGGCTCGCTCTGATCTCCTTTGAGGGAAGATGCGGAGTCGGATACATATCTCCTGGTCCTATGGTGTAAAGAGATATAAGGGTAAGAGTATTTAATAAAACATAATGTAATATAATAATACAATGTAATCTAATCTAATATAACATAATATAATACAATGTAATATAATATATACCAGTATAGTTTCAAAAAAGCACTACCATATATATATATATTTAAGTATATGCAATATATGCACCAGGAGAGGCCCCCTAGATAGCAAAGTTGACTTACAAATGGGCTAGGGCTTGTGGGTACACCTTGGAGGATCTTCATGATATTTGGTGCTTTAGAACCCCCATGAATACTAGTTTGTTATAAGTATAAACCATACTGAAAATATGGAAATTTAATCCAACTTAGCTATCCATTGGATCTTGTATATTAAACAACAAAAAAGAAACGGGCAATGGATAGGTCCTCTGGCCGTTCACCAAGGTATCAGATTTGAGAGCCTTCTACCCGGGCTGGTGCCGTGGGAGGGCCATTCATGTTCCATGCCCGGATAGTGGGATAGTGAAGCTTAATTTGGTACCATCCCTATGGATCCATGCCCCAGTCATACTTCCTTTCAGAAGGTACTTAAATCCATAGGGCATGCTAAGAAACACCAACGGGTTTCATGCCCACTGCCAATTTGCACGCAATTCCCGCGTCAGCGATTTTCGATGGGTCAACTTTACACCTGGATAAATGGCAGATTCTCACTGTAAAGGTAAAGTGAGTCATGTAGCTGTTGGAGATGTATCTACCTAGCATCCAGTTCTGACCATTGCTTTGGAGGGTTTGACCGATAAAGCGGGGGTCTGAATCTCAAAACTAAGTACCAGAAATGCGAAGCAATTGATGCATGGGTTTGCCGTAAAAATCATGGCCATCCAAATCCCATGCTTTCTCATCATTTTCCCAACTAACATGTCTATTTGTGGATATCCTCCGTTTTCATACACACACCCAAAAAAAGTTGGGTTATATCCCCAAGATATACTTATTATTGTTGGTTGAACTCCCATTATTGTCGATTAAATCATCATTCTCAAACACGCACCCATCTTGTTGGTTATACATCTCAATAGTTATCCCTACTATTTCCTTACTATAAACCAATGATATCCAATTATCCCACTATTTTCATTTTTGTGGTTACCATCCGGTAATCAAACGTGGCACGAGAAATCCTCTACAAACGGAGGCTTTCATTGGAAAATCATCGAACTGGATGGTGGATTTCCCATTGCTATGTTGGATTACCAGAAGGCTATTATATCACTCTTTTTCTTGGTCAAATCCCTAATTTCATATCCCATTTTATATCGCCAGCAATTTGCTGGTCAAATCCAAAAAAATGCATGGGTAAACCACCACGATATCACCGTTTTTTCTTGTTTAAATCCCATGAAATCACCATTTTTGCAGCTTCCAATGTCAGTCCCATGCTGATAAAACCCGGAACGCTCCTGCATCGCTCGAAAACCAGCTATCGGCCTGGAAAAGATACGGTGGACCTATGGATGATCTATGGCCATGGCCGCCATAGAAATACAATGGGATGTATCTGGGTCATATAGATGTATCTATACATATCTATATCTATATAATATATTTTTACAATATATATATATATAAATTATATAAGATATACATATATATATATAATAATATATATAATAATATATATATATATAATAATATATATATGGGTGAGAGAATTCAAGTTGCTGGGGATTTCTTCTGCAAACACATGGAGGTCTCCGAACATGAGGTTACCTCCAGATCATCCATTTTCCAATAGGATAGGATCCATGAAATAAATCATCCAGCTATTGGGGTATCCCCATTTTAGGACACCTTGTCGCAACAAAAACATCAGAATATTGAACTGACCGTCTTCACTTAAGTTTCAATCAAGTTTCCATGAACACTGATGATGAAGGTCAAATTCACCATGTATCATAATCAACCCATGATAAAGATAACAGCATTCTACAATGTGGCCCCCCCAGTTATAAGTTGGTCTATAAACCCCATTCACTATACTTATAAGATGTTATAAGTATAGTAAACCATAGTTATTGGAGTTATAAACCAACTTAGTTGTCTAGGAGGCCCCACATTGTACTTATCAATATGTCACTAGCATTATCTACTACAATCACCCATATTAAAAAGATCATTATTTACCAAAATCAACCCACAATATGTTGTTGCGGTTTCCCTCGCCAAACCCATCATTTACCGTTGGTTTTCTCCGCGGCACCATCTCCATTGCGATGCCGTTGCGAAGCTTTCGATAGATCTGCTTCACGGAGCCTCTGGTGCATGCGGTGAGTACCATAGGTTAGCAAAAACCAAACTAATGGTCATATTGGGATTTACAACTACAATCCATAGGTTATGTGAAATTAATCTAGTTCATTCATAGTCAATTTCAGATCCCCACAAGATATGGCCTTATTTACACATACAAAAAACCGTGGCACATCACCACATCACCATTTTAAATAGCTGAGTAAATCAACGAGATTTCGGCTGGGCCATGTTCAATGGCTGTGTTAGTTTACCAAAGGGTGACCAACAAGAATGGTGATTGAATTGGGATTATAATGGAGATAAATTTAATGGGATATAATGGTAAACTAATGGGATATACCCTGGTTAAATCCCCTTTTCTTCTCCCAACTTTGTTTGCTGAAGTAATGGTCATTTTTAAACCACTATTAACCACTATAAACCATATATATATATAAATATATTATGGTCATCATCTCCTTTATAATATGGCCTTTACATGGTACGAATCGTAGCTCCATTTTCCCCTGAACTTCCCATGAGTTGAGGGACTCTTGGGCGATATCAAGGCGTCAAACAGTTCTTCCCGGTCGATCTGCCCCGTGTTCTCCGTGTCCATCTGCGCCACCAATTCCTGCGAGCTGAGGGGTTGGGGCTGGGGGCTGTTGAGCAAAAGTCAATGACCTTAGCCTGTAAATTAACATAGTTTATTGGAAAATGGGAAACCACTGGGGAATGGAAAATGGCAAAAACTAACATGAAGATGTTTGGAGAACGATCATAAAGAAAACAAGCTTCCAAACTTGTGTCACCAAAAAGAAGGGAACTTAAATACCGGGAACATACCTGTGATTTCACCAGCAAAACAATCATTCAGAAATATGAGAAACCTGGTCAAAAATGTTTGACTCAAAAACCGAAATATGGGAAAATGTAATGAACAATAAACAATGGCTGGTCGACCAACAAGCACTTGGGACATACCTCTTTTCATGAAACATATGGAAAGGGGTCAAACCTACTAATAACTGGGCATACATAATCCGCACTGATATCCTAAGAATCACACACATGTCCATTTTTGCAGAATTCCGTATGAAAATATGTAGATTGTGATAAGCTCCAAGATACCGGATAGTGTTTGCATGTGTATCCCCCCATACAATCATCAAATGACAGGGCCTGCTCATGCGCATTGGGCAACCAAACAACTCGACTCCTTGGGGTGCTTTGAGATCATATATCAACAACAACAACTGCAACCGAAAAACTGATTTGCAGTTTCGTTAACTCCTGAAATATCATGAGACATCCAAAGATCAATGGGTGATACATGTTGTACTTCCGCGTTTTGGGAAGTCATTGATCCGCGTTGCACATATCCTCCTCTCTTGGTTTCCAAAACCTCAGAAATCCTGTTTGGCTGGTCGGACCAGATTTGTTTATCATCCCAAAGTGACGAATCTCCTTAAAAAATGCAAACAAACTGGAGGTTCCGAAGTAGCTTCCAATCTGTTCTGATCTATTCCAATCTATAGCAACCCCAGAATAGATAGAACAGTTGCAAATCTGGACATAAGAACGAAATATCATCGAACTAGTATCCTGGAAACACACTCTCGGCATCTTTCATTTGGAATTTGGAGTTACTATAATTTCTAACTTCAATCCATTCCGACAATCTATTCCTATTCCAATCCAAAACACATCCAACCACCGAACATCATCTAACATCATCTATCCAATCTAAATCCAATTGATTTCAATCATGTCCAACTTATTTTTTTTTGGTAAAAAAACTTCCGGTCCTCCACCTGTTCGTCGCTTGCAACACCCAGGTCAACAATGGCATCGGCCACATCACCTATATAAGTCGTTTTCTCTAGGGATGATGATCATGAAAAATGGTAAGTTAACATGATTTAACTAGGAAACATATGGAAATATATGGGAATGTTGTGGGGATAGTATATGATATAATGGGATGTGAGTCGTAGCATTGAGGATCGTCATTTCATTTCTAAGGATGAACATGAAACATATTTGAAAACACCAACAAATTTTGGTAAGTTTCAACTCTAAAACAATGGTAGATGAATAAATTTTGTCTATTTTTGCGGTTGCGATAACTTCTATACGCAATGACGTGTATTATACATATAATATATTATATTATATATATGTATATATAGTATATGTATATGTATATTGTAAATATATATATATATATGTATATTGTATAAATGTATATTGTATATAAGATATATGTATATTGTATAAATCTATATTATCAAAGGAAGTTTAGTGGGAGAAACTTCCGTGTTACGGACTTTTAGAATGTCAAAGAAAGAGTTAGTCAAAGAAAGAGTTAGTCAAAGAAACAGTTAGTCAGGGAAAGAGTTAGTCAAAGAAAGAGTTAGTCAAAGAAACAGTTAGTCAGGGAAAGAGTTAGTCAAAGAAACAGTTAGTCAGGGAAAGAGTTAGTCAAAGAAAGAGTTAGTCAAAGAAAGAGTTAGTCAAAGAACAGTTAGCAAGGGAAAGAGTTAGTCAAAGAAAGAGTTAGTCAGGGAAAGAGTTAGTCAAAGAAACAGTTAGTCAGGGAAAAAGTTAGTCAAAGAAACAGTTAGTCAGGGAAAAAGGTAGTCAAAGAAAGAGTTAGTCAGGATATATGAGGTAGTCAAAGAAAGAGTTAGTCAAGGAAAGAGTTAGTCAAAGAAAGAGTTAGTCAGGGAAAGAGTTAGTCAAAGAAACAGTTAGTCAGGGAAAAAGGTAGTCAAAGAAAGAGTTAGTCAGGATATATGAGGTAGTCAAAGAAAGAGTTAGTCAGGATATATGAGGTAGTCAAAGAAAGAGTTAGCAAAGAAAGAGTTCGTCAGGGAAAGGGTTAGTCACAGAAAGAGTTAGTTAGGGCATTGATTGTTCCCGCAATGCAAATGGGATTGCAAGTGGTGCAAGTGGAGGAGTTGCCGATGGAGTTTTGGAGGAAGTCTCGCACGAAATGCGTTTTTGAGAGATAGCAGATGCACGAAAGCCTATGTTTTTCCATACAAAGTGCGTCCCCGAACCTCGATGATCTACCTCTGCGGTGCGACGGGTGCGAGACGGTCTCGTGTGTGGTCGGATCATGGTCGGATCATAGGCGGATCATGGTCGGATCGGTTCCGCATTGTAAATGGGGTTTCAACTATTTTTCGTGCACGTGTGGTCGACAGAATTCCATTGTGATTTCCAACTGTAAGATCGTTCCCGCATTGTAAATGGGGTTGCAAGTGGTGCTGGTGGATATGTTGCCGATGGAATTCCATTGTAATTTGTAACCCTAGGATCGTTCCCGCAATGTAAATGGGATTGCAAGTGGTGCTGGTGGATGCATTGCCGATGGACTTTTGAACGAAGTCTCGCACGAAATATGTTTTGAGAGATAGCAGATGCACGAAACCTATGTTTTTCCATACAAAGTGCGTCCCCGAACCTCGATGATCTACCTCTGCGGTGCGACGGGTGCGAGACGGTCTCGTGTGTGGTCGGATCATGCTCGGATCATGGGCGGATCATGCTCGGATCGGTTCCGCATTGTAAATGGGTTTCACCTGTTTTTCGTGCATGTGCGGTCGACAGAATTCCATTGTGATTTGCAACTGTAGGATCGTTCCCGCAATGTAAATGGGATTGCAAGTGGTGCTGGTGGATGAGTTTCTGATGGAATTCCATTGTGATTTGCAACTCTAGGATCGTTCCCTCACTGTAAATGGGATTGCAAGTGGTGCTGGGGGATGAGTTGCCGATGGAGTTTTGAAGGAAGTCTCGCACGAAATGCGTTTTTGAGAGATAGCAGATGCACGAAACCCTATGTTTTTCCATACAAAGTGTGTCCACGAACCTCGATGATCTACCTCTGCTGTGCGACGGGTGCGAGACGGTCTCGTGTGTGGTCGGATCATGTTCGGATCGGTCTCGGATCATGGTCGGATCATGTTCGGATCGGTTCCGCATTGTAAATGGGGTTTCAACTGTTTTTCGTGCATGTGTGGTCGACAGAATTCCATTGTGATTTGCAACTGTAGGATCGTTCCCGCATTGTAAATGGGGTTGCAAGTGGTGCTGGTGGATGAGTTGCTGATGGAATTGCATTGTGATTTGCAACTCTAGGATCGTTCCCTCACTGTAAATGGGATTGCAAGTGGTGCTGGTGGAGGAGTTGCCGATGGAGTTTTGGAAGGAAGTCTCGCACGAAATGCGTTTTTGAGAGATAGCAGATGCACGAAAGCCTATGTTTTTCCATACAAAGTCCGTCCCCGAACCTCGATGATCTACCTCTGCGGTGCGACGGGTGCGAGACGGTCTCGTGTGTGGTCGGATCATGGTCGGATCGGATGGTCGGATCGGTTCCGCATTGTAAATGGGGTTTCAACTGTTTTTCGTGCATGTGTGGTCGACAGAATTCCATTGTGATTTGCAACTGTAGGATCGTTCCCGCATTGTAAATGGGGTTGCAAGTGGTGCTGGTGGATGAGTTGCCGATGGAATTCCATTGTGATTTGCAACTCTAGGATCGTTCCCTCACTGTAAATGGGATTGCAAGGTTGCTTCCTGCTTTGGCTGCATACGTAATACTATTGTCTTTTGCAGCTGGACTTCGTAAATCGTATTGGAGTGGCTGCATGAAGGCTGCGACAGTGATTTGTCAGCAGATTTTCTCCATTTTGGCGCTAGTGATTTTCCTTCTAAAAATCCTTTTAAAAAGTGCTTCAAAATCGTCTTTTTTTCGCTCTGGCGTCGAGATCCGGTTTTGGAGCTACAATTTCTGACGCCGTTGCGCGTAGTTCTATTGTGTTTTGCAACTCAGTCTCTGCAGATCGCATTGTAATGGCTGCGTCAAGGTTGCTTCGTGCTGTGGCTGCATTTGTCATACTATTGTCTTTTGCAGCTCGATCTCGTAAATCGTATTGGAGTGGCTGCATGAAGGCTGCGACAGTGATTTGTCAGCAGATTTTCTCCATTTTGGCGCTAGTGATTTTCCTTCTAAAAATCCTTTTAAAAAGTGCTTCAAAATCGTCTTTTTTTCGCTCTGGCGTCGAGATCCGGTTTTGGAGCTACAATTTCCGACGCCGTTGCGCGTAGTTCTATTGTGTTTTGCAACTCAGTCTCTGCAGATCGCATTGTAATGGCTGCGTCAAGGTTGCTTCGTGCTGTGGCTGCATTTGTAATACTATTGTCTTTTGCAGCTCGACTTCGTAAATCGTATTGGAGTGGCTGCATGAAGGCTGCCACAGTGATTTGTCAGCAGATTTTCTCCATTTTGGCGCTAGTGATTTTCCTTCTAAAAATCCTTTTAAAAAGTGCTTCAAAATCGTCTTTTTTTCGCTCTGGCGTCGAGATCCGGTTTTGGAGCTACAATTTCCGACGCCGTTGCGCGTAGTTCTATTGTGTTTTGCAACTCAGTCTCTGCAGATCGCATTGTAATGGCTGCGTCAAGGTTGCTTCGTGCTGTGGCTGCATTTGTCATACTATTGTCTTTTGCAGCTCGATCTCGTAAATCGTATTGGAGTGGCTGCATGAAGGCTGCGACATGGATTTGTTAGCAGATTTTCTCCATTTTGGCGCTAGTGTTTTTTTGTTGCACGTAGGTTTAGAGCAGTGTGAAGTGTGGGGCGTGAAGAGTGCAGTGTGAAGTGTGCAGTGTGAAGGAAGCAGTGGGAAGTGAGAAGTGTGAAGTGTGGAGTGTGAAGTTTAAGTTTGGAGTGCGAAGAGCGCAGTGTGAAGTGTGAAGTGTGAAGTGTGAGGTTTGGAGTGTGAAGGAAGCAGTGAGAAGTGTGAAGTGTGGACTGTGAAGTGTGAAGTGTGAGTGAAGTGTGGAGTGTGAAGTGCGAAGTGAGAAGTGTGAAGTTTGGAGTGTGAAGTTTGGAGTGGGAAGGAAGCAGTGAGAAGTGAGAAGTGTGAAGTGTGGACTGTGAAGTGTGGAGTGTGAAGTGCGAAGTGAGAAGTGTGAAGTTTGGAGTGTGAAGGAAGCAGTGAGAAGTGAGAAGTGTGAAGTGAGAAGTGTGAAGTGTGGACTGTGAAGTGTGGAGTGCGAAGAGCGCAGCGTGAAGTGTGAAGTGTGAAGTGTGAGGTTTGGAGTGTGAAGGAAGCAGTGAGAAGTGTGAAGTGTGGACTGTGAAGTGTGAAGTGTGAGTGAAGTGTGGAGTGTGAAGTGCGAAGTGAGAAGTGTGAAGTGTGAAGTTTGGAGTGTGAAGTTTGGAGTGGGAAGGAAGCAGTGAGAAGTGAGAAGTGTGAAGTGTGGACTGTGAAGTGTGGAGTGTGAAGTGCGAAGTGAGAAGTGTGAAGTTTGGAGTGTGAAGGAAGCAGTGAGAAGTGAGAAGAAGTGAGAAGTGTGAAGTGAGAAGTGTGAAGTGTGGACTGTGAAGTGTGGAGTGCGAAGAGCGCAGCGTGAAGTGTGAAGTGTGAAGTGTGAGGTTTGGAGTGTGAAGGAAGCAGTGAGAAGTGTGAAGTGTGGACTGTGAAGTGTGAAGTGTGAGTGAAGTGGAGTGGAAGTGCGAAGTGAGAAGTGTGAAGTGTGAGTTTTGGAGTGTGAAGTTTGGAGTGGGAAGGAAGCAGTGAGAAGTGAGAAGTGTGAAGTGTGGAGTGTGAAGTGTGGAGTGTGAAGTGCGAAGTGAGAAGTGTGAAGTTAGGAGTGTGAAGGAAGCAGTGAGAAGTGAGAAGTGTGGAGTGTGAAGTGCGAAGTGAGAAGTGTGAAGTGTGAAGTTTGGAGTGTGAAGGAAGCAGTGAGAAGTGAGAAGTGTGAAATGTGGAGTGTGAAGTGTGAAATGCGAAGTGAGAAGTGTGGACTGTGAAGTGTGAAGTGTGAAGTGTGGACTGTGAAGTACGAAGTGTGAAGTGTGGACTGTGAAGTGTGAAGTGTGAAGTGTGGACTGTGAAGTGTGAAGTGTGAAGTGTGGACTGTGAAGTGTGAAGTGTGCAGTGTGAAGTGTGAAGTGTGAGGTTTGGAGTGTGAAGGAAGCAGTGAGAAGTGAGAAGTGTGGAGTGTGAAGTGTGGAGTGTGAAGTTTGAAGTTTGGAGTGCGAAGAGTGCAGTGTGCAGTGTGAGGTGTGGAGTGTCGAGGGAAGGACACGGTCGGGACAGGGTGTCTTTGAACTATAGGTCATTTATGTTTGGGAAACTTCCGCCGCCGGCTTGCCCGGGTCTATGTTATAGAATATATATGTATATTATATATGTATATATAAAAGTATTTAAGTATATATGACATGTATATACACATATATACATATTATGTATGTGTATATATATATATGCGTAACATTTCTATATACGTATATATATATACATACTATTTTACATAATATATATTATACACATAATATATATAATATACATAATATATATAATATACATAATATATAATATATATAAAATATACATAATACATATAATTTACATAATATATATATACATAAAAAGTATATATATATCATAATATGCATATATATATATATATATATATATTAATTTTATAATATAAATATATACATACATTATAATCATAATATATACATAACTTATAGAATTTGGGTGAACTTGGAGGTATGATAAACAGTGCCCGCACAACGATGACCTTGGCCATAAGGTCGCCAAGAGGCAGCGGTTGATCTTCTCGTCATTCTCTGGAGACATGGCCATCAGCAAATCATCGGTGTCCTCGGCCGCAACACAGCGGAATGCTTAACGAAAAAATCTTGAGGACGTTTCCACATCGGAAATCTTGATTTTGGTTTGGTGCTGGAAGTTTGATGTGTATTTAAGATGCACGAAGATTATGTAAAATGTAAACCATGTAGACACATATCATACACGGAGGAGATGGGATGCAGCATCAACAGTATACTCAACAGTATACATAAATGACCAGCTACATACGCACACCAGCTCAACCCTGTCTAGAAGTACACGGTTTTATACACAAGCTAGCGTCCTCCATTTTGTAGAGGAAATTCCCATTGGGTAAATATGATTATATATGTACAATTATTGAGACAAGTCATTTCCATAAATGGGGGTGCCCCAAGATGGATGGTTTATAGTGGAAATTCCCCGTCTAAAATAGATGATAACTGGGGCACCCCCATGACTCAGGAAACCTCCAGATGGATCTTGGTCAAAACTCTTGCCCCAAACAACATCTCTACACCTGGGGATCAAACCCTGGGGAATATGTTTCCAGGAGACTATAGACGATATTTTAATACATATATTATAGATTAGAGATGATATAAATATATTATAGATGATATTTAATACATATCTAGATTATATGCTTAATACATCTATTTCCACGTTTCCCAGTTTTCTATATCTTTTTGGGGGGTCAGTATCCTGTATATTTTGGGTGACGCCGCCATGGGGTTTCCTGGCGCTCTCCAAGAGGCCCGGATACGACTGCCACGAAGTTGTCCCACGCCGGATTTGATAACCCTTTTGACCTGCCAAGGCTCTCAAGATTTCTTGGGTGCCACAAAAAAAGTCACAAATGCTGCGGAAAATTTCTAAGCGTAGTGGAATATCCTCCATTTATGTATTTAAATATATTTAATACAGATGATTTGATATGATGTTCCCCTTAAAATCTCCATTTATAGGGGTTTGATAACCAGAGGGGTAAGTTTTTAAGACTTCTAAATGGTAAAAGAACTAGTAGGAGCTAAGTGGTGCACACCTCCAGAAACTAAGGGGAGTCAAATGGTGTCAACAAGCCACAACAAAGTAAATGACATTTAATGAGCAAACAAGTTTATAAAGGAAACGTCTTGAAATAGGAACCTCTGTCTGAGATCCCCAGCATAGGACAAATTCATCATCCAATGGGATTTTCCCCATGGAAAAGTTGCCAAACGGATGGTTGAAACCCTATAAATAATGGGATAAACCATCTATCAACTAGTGCAGGGTTTCTTCCATCCACAGTATGGAACAAGGCATGTCCAGGGCATTCGGCTCGCAAGAGTTTTCCAAGTCATATCCACCATGGTCCACCATGAGTCACCATGTGCCAACTTGGCGATGCAGCAACAGGCTTTAAAAAACCATGACCCCATCCTATCTGGCATGTAGCAAATCTACCCTCCGGGAATCAAACATGGCTAGCTGGAAAAAATCCCTCATACATGGAGGTTTTAATGGGACAAACATCTATTAAAGGGAGATTTTTCACTGCAATGTTGGATTAGCAGAGTGTATATTTGTCAGGTAGAAGCTGGCAAGGAATTTATGAAAACACGTCATACAGAGACTGGCAACAATATGCAGTCACTGTACACTGACTAGCTCCACGTTGAAAGGAAGGGATTGTATAGACGACACCGGATGGGACTGCTTCACAACTATCCTAGCTATATCCAGCTCTGGATTTGTGCGCAATACACTGGACTTAAACTTTATCCAAATCCAAATAGTGGGAAGTGGAGTTCTACATATCTTGAAAGAGGGTCACGACACGTTGCATGGGTACCCCCAAGACTTTTTCTTCTTAGCTAGCAAGCGTGGCGATGCTCCGCGTTTTCAATTGAACATATTCTTTTTTCCAGCCATGTTCCGGATATTTCAAGCATTGAGTACTGAGTGCAATGTCTGCAACAATTGCCTCTCAGTTGATGTGGGCCGTTGATCAAAAAACCCAAGAATTCCCCAGACGAAAATCAGCAAGTACCGATGTGAAATGGTGCGTTTCGTAGCAATCCAAATGGGGTGCAGATCATTTTCCCGTGAAAAAAACCTCCATTTTCGGGTGGATTTCCCAGCCCGCCAGATTTGATTTCCGAGAAGGTATACCATGACGTCATCGACCTATTTCCTGTTCATGTTCATGCATGGCAGGTCCAACCACAGCAACACCCACCAAGCAGTTCCACTATGATGTTGCTGCCTGCATGAGAACTCCAATCATGCGGCACATCGAAATACGTAGATCTCCTCAACGAAAACAAATCCGGCAGAGGACGGATTTTTAAAGCAATCAATTAATACTATCGCACTTGGGGGGTGAACCCCACTTAGTAAGTGGCTAGTAAGCATCCTAAAATATTGTAAGCCATCTATATCTTATACAACATCCCCAGTAAAAACATATATAGGTCATGGGTTTGCCACAGGGGATGCACAGCATAGCCTTCTGGGGTTCCTGATCTTTGTTGGTATGCTTTTTAGAGGGTATATATGTATGTCTATGTATATATAATTACATATAATACGATCCTGGAGTAGACAAATTGTGAAACTTTCAGAGATAATCTAATGTTAGGGATGTTTTTTGAGATGTCTATATTCTATCTACTCCAGGACTCCAGGATGACTACATATATACATGTGTACGCATACACATACATACACATATGGTTGATGGTTGAGAATAAAACATCATTGAAACCTCCGATGTCTGGATTTTTCCTGGTCCCATGGTACCCGTCACACAAGAATGAGGCCATCTAGAGGTTTGTACACCATCTCTAACCTCTATATTCACGTCGCTTCGCGACGGCAACCGCCCGCACCGCATCGTTGGGCAGCCGCTCGTAACTGCCAATGATGTCGGCCATTGAGACCAAAAACATCCGAAAGTACTGATTGTCGGAAAAAGAACGCGAAGAATTTGATAGCCATGTATAGCGGACCAACGCAGTTCAAAAAATAACGAAAAACATGAAAAAACGGCGAAATTGCTGTTATTTACAGTGTTTTTGCGCGGTGAGAAGCAGAAACCACTGCAAATACCATGGTTTTTGAGGGTTGGCCAAAAACACTGTAATTTACAGTGTTTTTTAACCAACGTCAAAAAACACTGGTATTTACGATGTTTTCATTCACACCGTAACATAAAACAGTGTAATTTACGAGGTTTTTGGAAGTTTTGAAGCTAGCCGTCAAGCATGCAGAAAACAGAAAACCACTGTAAAAACCAGTGTTTCTGCTATCACAAAACGACGAAAATCAGTCCGAAAACGGGTCCAAAAACTCAAAAATCCGCCTCCGGGCCCGGCCACCTGCGGAACCGCAAAAAAAGATGTTGCAAACCAAAAAATTGAGGTCAAAAAGTTGAAAAACACGGTTTTTTTTCACTTTTCGCTTGCCGATTTTGGACGGGCGCGTTCACGAACAGGTGTCTTCCGTACTGTTTTTTACAGTGTTTTTTGAAGGCGAGCGTCACGACCTATCAAAAACAGGAGGTTTTGGCCGAAAAATGCCACCCCCCCCCAGGTAAACCTGTAACCTTTTACGAGTGCCATCCGGAAGATCACGCCCCAGCACCTTCGGTGCGGGCGGATTTGTTGATATGCTTGATTGGTCTATGATGTTGATAAACTATAGTTCCATAGGGGCGCAACTGCGTTTTCTGCTTCACACATAGATATTCAGCACACTGAAACAACATGTCAATGGAAATTTCAGGACCCTAAACTGGAGCTACTGTACCATATAAAACCATGTATATATATATAATTATATAGATTAGAGGCAAATCCCACATGTATAAAACCATGTATATATATATATAGATTGGAGGCAAATCCCTTGAAATTTAACCCTTAGTTACATAGGCCTTATACATGGTAGGTACCTCCAATTTAGGTACAGTGAACCTAAAATGGCCATTGAACATACATCTGGTTTGTTGGCCGACATCGTTCTTAACAGTTTAAACGGATTTAGAAATCTATACCTACGACGCGCTCATCAACGTGAGCTACTTTCGGGGATCATTAAACATGCTAATGCCACGCTTCCGCTTGGAATTCCGGCATTTTTCCGGAAAGGTGAAACCCAAGCCCGCCACCAACATTGATGGTCTACTTTGGAAAGGGAAATCGCCGGAGGGTAAGGCGATCCATGCGACTTCGCATCTCCCATATAGATCCATAAAATCTGGTTGGTGGTTGACCTGCCCCTCTGAAAAATATGAGTTAAAGTCAGATGGGATATATATATATGGAAAAAAAATCATGTTCCAAACCATCAACCAGAAATAGATAGAAATAGTTGATTGACCGAGAATACCTCTATTGGATATGTCATCATTTTCTCTGGCTTAAAACAGTCCCCCATGAAATACCATCTGGTGAATCAAACATGGCTGGCTGGAAATCCACCAGTTGTATGGTTTTTTTCCATTAGAACCTCTATTTGTAGGGATTTTACACCCACTAGTAGTGGTGTTTGATTGCTGAAGGGTACATCAACGCAATTTTTTAGCCCATTATGGTCGTACAAGTTATATTAAATACTATACCCCACTATATACCAATGCCATACTGCCATTATCTATCAGTTTACCACTAGATCATATGATATCCAATTATAGAGGGTGTTTACCCATCCTGTCCACTTTACCGTCGTTCAAGTGGCTTTCGGCGATCAGGGCATTCTCTTCGGCTTCCGCTTTTTCTCCTTGCCTCTGGAGCTTGTGAAGGCTGATGGAGCAGCATCAGAACAGGTGCCGACATAAGCTGCCAAATTCTTGGATATCATAGGGGTCTGACATGAAACTGATCTGAAACTACCCTCTGGTTATTTAACATAGCCATGGAAGCCATGGCCCATAGAAACAGATGATTTTCCCAGCTGTAAACCTCCATTTATCATGGGATTTTCCAGTTCGCTATGTGAGAAATAACCAGATGGTAGTTCCCAATATATGGAAAGTCATAAATTCCATGGTTCCCAAACCACCAACCAGCCCTATGTTAAATAACCAACCAGCTATATCATGTGCATCCCATGTGCATCTAATGGGTGACAGCCTTTTTGATGGCGCCCCAAGGTGAGCAATCTCTTCAGCAACATGGGTGAACTCATCTCCTTCAATGGGTTATGGTCATCTCATACTGTCAATGGCCATGACGAACTGGATCCGATTCATTGGAGGTACCGGTTCCATATATTTTTGGTCTATTTTTTAGGCCTATTTTTTAGGGGATATACACTCAAAATATGGGCAAACATATGGTACTAACGTACCTCCATTTTAGGATCCTGAAGATCTCCCATTGATACTGGGAATCCTGAAAAACATCATGGATATTCATGAAAAACATAATTCCAAATTATATAATAATGGATTCATATTTTTTCCTATCCCATGGTGGGAAAACAAGAAAACAACCTGTGCCAGAGATTATGTTTTTGTTTTTCACTTATCACATTCACTCAAGATATGTCCTATGCTTATGATATTCATATACAGAATGAGGTAATGGAATATGACTTGTGAGATATGAGTATGGGCCAACATTAGATACTAAAATCATATGTTTTTTCCGCCTTTGACTCTAGTGCTGAGAGCGGTAGAGACAACCAGCTACGGCTGTAAAACCCACCAAAGCGTAATCATCAATGGATGATTTTCTGAAATTTGATTGGTCCATCATGATGATATTTTATCAAACACGCTGTGATCGACCCTAAAATTGGATGGTTCATACCAACAATTGACCTTCCACTCGGTGATCACCTGGGCCTTTAAGACAACCTCACCATGCCCTGCCTTCGGTCATCCTCTGTCAGCTCAGGTTGCCACACGGGGTAATGCTGACCTCGAACGCTGTAGACTGTGTAGAGCGGTGACGCTTGGTGTCTTCTTGGAGGTTCCCCAAGATGGTAACCTACAGTTATAGCACTTAACAGTCCTAACTGGCTGAAAAGAATGAGACAATTACAACCTTAGTTGCAGGAGTTATACTCCCATGTTTATCAATGTCAGTTAAGGGCCAGAACTGTAGTTTTATAAAAGCGAAGGAAACAAAGTCACAAGAAAAAAATTGAAGCCATTAGAGGTGCCCGAATGAGATTCACACGAATCGTAAATGGATAGGACGTGTACGTGGAAGCTGCCCATGCGCAGCTATCTAATTTGATAGAACGCCGTAAAGTAACTGCATATTAAGCCCTACCCTGTGGGCACAAGATCTGACAAGGGCCGACGTGCTTCACGGATATTCACCACCCAGGTTCCTCGCACGTAGGAGGGGAGACCATGTGCAGCTTCTAAGTTGCCACACCATCATTTGTAAATCTACAAGCGATGCCTTCCCATACAGCTACAAACAATACCTCCTAAACGGATATTTGCACAGGAACTTCTTGGTGGCTGATCCCATGTAGCAAGTCGTTAATAACCCTAGTTATAGGTACATTAACCCTACTTATCCCACTCATAACTGGCTTTCTAACCCAGCAAAACGATTCCTGCCATACTGGGGAAAGGCCATCCCATCGTGTTATTTTTTACAGTCGCGCCGTGTGCCGTCCAGTGACAGAAACGATAGGCCTCACTCTTACACCATTTGTCGGCGTTCACCGATGTCTTGGGATGGAACACGTCCCCTGACCCTGCGCGCAGGACTCCGCGGACTCCGCGGATTGGGGCTTCGCTGAAATTCACCAAAAAATGGTCCCTGAAAAACAAACACATCGTCAGCACACACACACACACGACATATTTCAATGAATAATAATGGATAATATGTTTGGCATTGCTTTCCAGTGGTTTTTGGATCAAACAAGCTTGTTGAAGCAGTGTAAAATTATTGCATACACAGCTCTTGCTCTAGTTGAGTGGCGACTAATTGGTTTGGTGTCTTTTCTATTTTTGGACCCACCCAAAAAACATGACAAACCACGTGTATCAGAATGGAGTAACGCAATTCCCCAAAATGGAAAAATCGCCGGAGTTTGTGCTTCAAATTGCCAAATTTTCACATTCACAATTGGTGGTTTCCCGCAAATTCAAAACACTCATACTCATCATACTCCATATCAGGCCCCTTTTTGGATCATCGAGGTTCACTCCTTAAGCCACTAGAGGGCAGCCAACAGAACTGAGCAATGCCCACAACTTCTTGTGGATTCTGTCTACAGACTGGCTGAGAGGGCGTCTTCAGATTAGAGTAGGGTAGTGAGCATCAAAGAATATCAAAGACATCCAATCCCAATTTACATCAATTTACGCCTTGCTGGGTGAAAATCTGCATCACTGTTTTTGCCGCTGATACCGCCTTTGTTCATGAGCATCTTGAACAACGGGTTCGACTTCCCTCGGTGGCCACCATCCATGGAGAGCAGCGCTGATATATCCAAATCCTGTCGCGACTTCCGAAGTCAAATGAGCGCTAAGTTGGTTTATAACATGTTTTAAAGTATAGTTTCCCTATGGATCCAGCCGTACCTTCCTAGATCCTCGGAAGTGTGACTGGGCTTTGATGACGTTTCGGGGGCTAGCCGTTCAGTGTTTGGATCCATAGGGCTTAATATAGCAACGGTTTTTGCTCTGGCCTTCCGCCGTTACAATTTACGTGCTGGGATCAGAGGATGTTTGATGCGTGGGAATTTTGTCCGAAGGAATTCCGTAGACAAACCATAGACAAAGCGTAGAACGCACGTTTTTTGGCGTAGAAAGGACATTGTTTGGCATAGAACAAACGTTGTTTTGCGTAGATTCCGGGGGTTGCAAAACAAGTCTGACAGGGCCAAAATGTCCTTTGAGAAAGCATGGGATACAACATCCATCAAGAGATGGGCGAACCACCTTTGCAGCAAGAACATCCTTTGTTACAACGGACGTATAATTATTTCGTGCTTTGGACTTACAGGGTTAGTATATCCATAGTGAACTGGCTAAAAATAAACAAACCAGTTGTGATTCAAAGGATTTTCCGTTTTCACCCACAAAAAGGCTTGAAAGATCTCGAAAGCATGGTTGCAATTCAAGCTTTTCAGAGACGAGTCGACAGTGTTTCGAATGAGTTTCGGAGCTGCGGAACGGGTCTTTGCATCTGAACAGCAACGCGTTGTATCCCGATGGAGCCAAGGTGCACTCCCTCAGAAGGTACGGCTGGGTCCATAGGATATGAACATTGACCAAAATGAAGTATATATTCCCAATCTAAAGCTTCAACTTTTTGGGTAATCCCCAAGCACTGGATAGCCAGAACTGCTCACCAGTTACTGGTTGAGACAGCGATTCAACTGTCCAACTACACTGCACCCCTTCATTCAGTTCAACTGTTCTTGATATCCAACTTGTTCCTTTGACATTTCCAAGACTCGGTTTGTATCAGGGGTAAATCCATAGGATTCTTGGGTCCATCAAGATACAGTGGTTGGCTACACATACAGGTTTCAAGCCTAAAGACTTGCACTTGCACATCATCAGGTCACATGTCCATGTGTTTGTGAGCCGATGTTGGACATGAATAGTAACCATTTGTTGAATCCACCGCCAGGATATTGTTATCATTTCTTATCCACCATCTTGGCTCTTGGTTGATTCTTAATTTTCAAAAAATCTTAGATTTCCTGCGCGGGGTTTAGTTTTAGTTACCGTATCTTTCGCAGGAAACGTGGGAAAACTCATCCTGGATTTGTTGCCAACAAAATCACCGAATCACCCAGCAACATTTTCCAGCCTGTTGACCCATAATTACCCAATTAGCCTCTGGTAACATGGCAATGGAAAATCATCAATGAAAAGAGATGAACTTCCGTAATTTCCCAATACAACCTCCAATTATAGACTAGCTTCCGATACTTTCCGATGTTTTCCCAGCTATAAAACCTCCACTGCGATTTTCGGTAGCCATGGATTGATGACCATCCCTATGATAATGGTTGCCAACAATTCCTATCCTCCGGTCTAAATCACAATCCGATCTAATCCAACTGTTGATTCTACTTGGATATATATATATATATTAATATATATATATATTAATACTAATATATATATATAACATATCATCTGTATATATGATATGTATGTGAATCCTATAAAATCTCCATATTTTGATGGTTAAATAGGCAACTAAATTGACCGTGGCACTTTGGGTGACCAACAAACAGTTGGGTCGTCCTTCTCCTTCAGCTTTTCGGCTGGGCGGAGACTCTCATCCTGCGCTTTTCGGATTCCCCTGGTGGTTTCCGCAACCGCATGTTTTTAGAAAAAGGGGATAGATAGATAGATAGACAGATAGATAGATAGATAGATATATATATATATATAACCCATATGCTCCATGTATAGTATATTTACCTACACAACTGGCTCATAAATATGGGGCAAATGTTGGGATTCATGTTCCAGCACCATGGTTCGCATATGGGTAATGGAATATCATATTAACATGGGAAGTATCATAGGGATGGGGATTCTATGAGATTGATCAAGGTATCAAGGGGTTGATTTATGGGAACATGTACAGAAAACCCACGGGTTTACAACCCCCAAATAGAGAGGTCTTCCTGTAGATGTTCCGTTAAACATCCTTATCCACTTCTGGGAATAAATTACCTTTAGGCAAATTGACAGTGGTATGGACACTCTGTGTTTTTTTCCAGGAAATAAACTATATATGTAAAAGATTGTTTTTGCATATCTATGTAGTCGATGTACAACTTCTGTAGCACATGGTGTCTACATAAATAAACAGAACGATAATACAATCTGGTATTATAAATGTATACCCATACTTATATGTATATATATATACCTTGATAATATATATATATATTCCTCTCATCGGGTAAACCTGAGATGGTGACTTGGAAAAGCAGTGTTTGATGACTTGGTTGGCATCTGGTGACTCACCATTTATGGCCATCAAATCGGGAACAAAGCCATGTGGCTAGACCTACAAAGTGGATGAGTTGAGCTGGAGCAACGATTAGATGCCCTGCAACCAAACAAAACTTTCAGGCAATCATGGGAATATGATAAATTCTAATTAGGTGTTTAGCTAAAACTCAATCCCTGACCAGCCAAACCTGTGTTTGCGCACTACTCTTCTGACAAAGCAGAAGCTACACCACAAAACGCATTTCCCGTGAAGCTTGGGACATTCATGACACCATGAAACATCAGCCACCGTCATGGTAGATTCAATTATTATATATATATATGTATTATAATATATGATAGCATGTTTTTTCCAATTATATATATATATTCAGACGAATTTGAAAGTCAATCAGATACAGAACAATGTCTTGAAACAGGAATTCGCACGGGAAGACCAAGTTTCAAATGCATTCCCATGACCCATACCTGGTAAGTTAACATAGCTGGACAAGAGCCAACTCATAGTCAAGCTTAGCCACATCATTAGCCTGATATATGAAACATCGTGATTCCACCTATGGATAATTATGGATATAGTAATTCATCATAATTCATCCATTAACTTTATATCATACCCTCTGGTTATTTGACATAGCCATGGAAAATGGCCCATAGAAATAAATGATTTTCCTATTAATACATCCATTTAGTTCAGGGATTTTCCATGGCTATGTTAGTCATAACCAGATGGTATATTCAGCAATATGTACCCTCTGGTAATTTAACATAGCTATGGAAAATCACCATTTTCAATGGGTAAATCCACTATAAATCACCATTTTCAAGAGCTATGTTAAATTACCAGAGGGTACGCGGAAATGCTTAGGAAAATCTCACTCACCGGCGAATTCATCCATGAGCCGAAGGGATTCACCCTTCGAAATCCCCTATAGCGAGCTGCGGAGCTGTCCATGCCTGCGCCAGACCGCGCTTTTCCCGTTGAATCTCGGGCAAGCTCTTGACCACCTAAAGTGATCTGGGCAGTTCCAAAATGATGCAAGGGGGCTCCGAAAAGGGCTCCGAAAGCCAGTGGTTTTTTGAAAAAAAAGAATGATTCCAAAGTCATGCAAAATTCTGGATGATCCAAAATGATCCAAAATCATTCAAAATATAAAGATGATCTTGGATATCGGGGTACCCCGATTTTAAGACCCCCCATCTAGTAATTCTTGGAGCATTGACGTGTATCGTTTTTCACGACGAAGCATCCAATAATCCCATCCCCCATATTAAACATCACCTACACGGTCCATAAAATTCTGTGGAAAATTCCTACTGAACCATGGTTTCTCATGTGGTATTGAACATAGGGGTGATGGGCCCCCAAGATGAACCGCTTCAACAGATTTCACCAGGCTTTCAGAAGGGTAAGCTGGGTATTTAACTTCAAGGGGAAGGAATTATAACAAATTAGGATCTACACACACACACAGATATATATATATATTTAACCTGCAAAAGCATCTGTTTCTTTTCCACAGAGGAAACTCAATTAGCTACAAATGGGAGGAATGCACCTCACTATACAAAGGTATATACACGAATTGAAACACTACTTTAATAAATTCTCCACACACATCAACCGGTCGCACAAAAAGTGGTAACAATGGTTGAGTAAAGAACCTCGATTAGGTTAAACAGCCTCATGAGGCAAACGCACAGGGGGTTCGATTAACCTCCCATGGTGACCCCTGGAGCACGCGACAGGAAAAGAAGGCGGTGAACAGGGGAAGGTGGAGGGTAAGAAAGGTGGCTACAGAGCACGTGCATGTTAAACACCCGTGTCATTCACTTAAAAGTTCACTTCACTCAAGTTATTAACCTGCAAAAGCATCTGTTTCTTTTCCACACAGGAAACTCAATTAGCTACAAATGGGAGGAATGCACCTCACTATACAAAGGTATATACACGAATTGAAACACTACTTTAATAAATTCTCCACACATCAACCGGTCGCACAAAAAGTGGTAACAATGGTTGAGTAAAGAACCTCGATTAGGTTAAACAGCCTCATGAGGCAAACGCACAGGGGGTTCGATTAACCTCCCATTTGTCCATTTTTAAACAACAGGGAAAAAAGAAAAAGAACTCCCATCCCCATTGCTTGTTTTCCTGTCGAAGACGCTTGAGTAGTGAGACCCCTTTTAAGGTCCACTTCCTGACCCGCCGGTGTTGCTGGGTCGACCAAAAGAACTCGGCCATGGCAAGGGTGCCCTGATCCACGTACATCCGAGCTGTACGGTTACAGGTCCAACGACCACGTTGGAGTGTGGCATCCATTGATGCCGTTCTCAAGAAAAACCAAGTAGCTCCTCCCCTTCTGATGCCGTATGGGGAGTAATCGGTGGCCGAAAACCCAAGCGCTCTCAGGAGCGCATACCAAAAGAGACGGAATTGCCCGGGAGAAGATGGCCAAAGGAAGTCCCGGGGGGCACGTGCCGACAGCACGGTAACAGCCAAAGCATGCACGAATTTGTCCTCAAAAACGAGGACCTGGGGATTGCCCATTGACGTCTTTGAAAAAGGAATGATGACCGTCAGCCGATCTGTTCTGGCATCAGGTATCAAGTGGAGACACTGCAGGCTCAGCATCTCGGAAGTCCTGAGAAAACATAGGAATCCCACGTACAGCATGAGGGAGACCGCGGGGAACCCCAATGTGAAACAAAGTCCCCCCATAGCTTGAAGAAGCTCCCAGCTAATTGGAATTGCACGCTCAGGGCGGTGAATCTTTTGCCAATTCCGGAAGTATTGGCTGGCCGTCGGTAATGAGGGCCGCAGACCAGGACAGAATCTCTTCAGCCCGGATAATAAGTGGCCTGCCTGGGCCAAACTATCCCCTTCCTGGAAAAGGGCATTGATGTATTCACCCACCGCAAAGTCAAGCTGCTTCTGTGAGCGGAGGGGTAACCTGTGCACTTTGATGAAGGTGAGGAAGCGATCAACACTGAGGCGATAGGCCCTTAACGTTTTCCCTTGCAGCCCGGCAAACCGGATGTGTTTACCCATCACGGCGTGTTTTGCGGCGCGAAGCGCCGTCTGCAAAATTCCACCTTGAAATTGTCCAAGCCGGCAAGGGGTATTGGTCGGAGCCCAATGTAAAGGCCGCGGTCTGCTTGAGGAGCCTGTTCAGTCCTTTCGAGGGACTGCGCCCTTTGCTGACAGCCCCTCTGGTGACGAGGCTGTCGACCACCGCCATATACCTCATTTCATGCTTCGACGGGTCCTTGGCCCTCCTCTTCAGCATGATGTTGAACGCTGCTACTTCACCTTCATTCATATGCCTTTCTTCTTTCCAGGCATAACTCATCACCTCCTCCCAGTACCATCTGTAAGCAGGGTACGGGACTTCGAGGTTCTCGTCGCCCAGATGGAGCCTCAAATCGGAGCCCCGTATACTCAATCTCTGCGCCATCTCACGCAGGTGAATGGCCTCATGCCCTGGCACCATGTTGACCTCCAGGGTGACCAACTCGTTGGCGACCATGTTGGCGACTGCCGGGACGCTCAAGCGCGATGTGGACTTCTCTAACTCTTGCTTCAGCACCCTGCATCTTCCGTCCAGCAGCGACCGTTGGATCCAAGTGTCCACCTGGCGCCTCAAGCCCCTGGCATAGGCATTGCACCACTCAACCTTGTACTCGGCCTCATCTGCGGTGGCAAACCGGAGGCTTCCATCAGCTTGGCGCTCAGCACCATAACCGCGCAGCCCCTCATGCCCGGGGCAGTTTGGGCGGTGGAGCTCGGCTTGAATCTCCGGTGAGTTGTTCAAAAGGGCGTACCACTTCTCTCTTTCGCCGCCCCAACAGCAGTTGGACCCGACGGCGTAGGTGAACTCTCCTCGGGTCAGCTCTTCAACCAGAGAAAACCACCACAGCCAGCTGTTGTAAGGATGCTCCACCGTCAGGTAGCGCCGCTCGCCAAAGGGACCATGTGCCCTCCGCAGGCCTCTCAAGGCCATGCTGTTGGACTTCCGCAAATCGATCTTCGTCTGGGTTGATACCCAGGGGAAGCCCATCACATGGTGGGCATCACGCACCGGCTGCGGTCCAGGAACTGTTGTCCCATCCTCCAAAACCACCGGCCTTCCTCGGGCGCGGGTGAACAGCCGACACTCTGGTGCCCAATGCTCACAGGCCAAGCATGGGTCGCCTTCGAGTTCAGCAAGCTTCTGCTTTCCCTCTTCAGAGAAGAAATCATCTCCTCGCAGAAGGTCAAAGGGGGGCTGCACCTCGATCCCTCCAGTCCGCGCCACTGCGTGGGACAGCGGCGCATTCGGGCCAGAGAAGCGCTCGCCAAACTTGGGCACAGCGTACAGCTTCCGTCGGCAGTCACCACCTCGATGTTGATCGATGCACTTGAGGCAGCACAAGATGGCGCAGCACCCTGCTGGACAGGGGTAAATCCGTGAGTCCTCCAGGTCACGCTCACATTGCTCACAGCGTCGCCCATGCGGTCTGATGGTGTCTGGGGGCCTCTTGAACTGCCGAGCCACGCCGGCTCCTCCACCCGTCGGGGAAGCGTCAGTGATTGTGACTTCCCGGTCAAACACCGCCCGTAGGTTCATGAACAAGACCGGGAGAAGGGCCATCGACATGTACACCTCATCCACGGCTTGCCGCGAGAGGGTGATAGGCCCTTTCATGGCCCGTCCAATGTCCACAAAAATCTTCTCCAGGATCGACATGGAAGGGCGCCGGAAGGCCATGGCAAAAATGACCTTACCCACGAAGTGGCGCAGTTCAAACTCCGAGGTCTTGCCTGACCCCAACAGCGCGGCACCCAACTCCAGGATGCTCACCTTTTTGTCATGCGACGCTTCAAAGGTGCCAGTGATTCCATCGATGTCACCCCCTTGTAGACTGCCTTGTACTGCGCCAACCAAACGTTTTCCTTCGTTGAGTGGAAGGTTCAAGCCATTGCAGGTGTTCACAAACCGCTGGTGTCGATGCGATGGGCTCCCTTCCAGGACAGCACGACACCCAGCCTTCACCTTGCGAAGCTCGTCGTAGCTGTCCAGGTACACCACGGACACAGAATCGTCCGCGGGAAACCACTTCAACTTCGAGACTTCCGACGCCTCCGGGATACCACTCATGCTGAAGACCAGGGTACGCACCACGGTCTGCATCAGGGCTACGCTGTTGATCCAGCCCATTGGAACAACCCGCATGCCCACGAAGGCGCGCTCAGACTCAGCCCGGCCAAAGACCGCTCCACTGACTTGCTTTGCAAAGGCACTATAGCCCAACCACTCATCAGGGAGTCTGAACAAGTTGAAGCAACTTGTCAGGTCTTCGCTATCGATCAGGACCTCCTCATCCTCGTCGACCTGCATCATGGCCATTTGTCCCAGATAGGGCAAGTGGCAGTCATGCCCAGGCATATGCAGCTGGTAGGTGTTTGATGGAACCAGAATCGATATGAAGCGCTGCAACAGCTTCTCTTCTCCACCAACCTGCTTAACCTTCCTGACTCCTCCAGCCCCATTCAGGACTGGGTGACCATTGTGATCCCGGAAAAGCTTTGACTCAGGGACCTCAGCCATCATTCCTCGGGCCACACCGGCTCGAACAATAGCGTCCCACTCAGCATCCGAGGCTCTCACCCTACTAATGGGCGGTTTCTCAGGCCAGGCTCCCTGGGGCAGCAAACAAGCCCGGGGATTGCTCAGCCATTCAGCAACTTCCGGTGGCACAAAGTCCAGGGCGTCTTGCACTGCAGCCTCGCCTGGTTGAGGCCAACAAGGGATGACTTTTTCCGCCACCAGCACCTCCATGTATTGTATGGGCTCACCGCCATAGTCGAAGCGGACACTCCCAACCGCCTGCTTGCATTTCGCAAACGGTTCCATGAGCCCACCTTTGGCCTCAAACCGCTTCACCGCCTCGTGGAGACGGGTGACCATCAGCTCTTGGGCTGGTGACAAAACTGGAGGCCCCAACTGAGGCCTACTCCCGTCCAGACAAAAACTTTCGGACCAAAGAGACCCTCGCGGGGAGTAACTGGGGTGGCTCCGTGGCCAACGGAGTTTCCTCTGTTGGTAACCTCTCCTCCAGCTCACGCTGTAAAAGCAAGAACTTTCAAAAAGGTGAGTCAAGCTCTGGTATCAGATCGCGGACCCATGCCATCAGCTCCACCGGCGTCCGCTTCTCTTCCATGAAGTCTTGCAAAGGTTTGCCCCACTCCTCCAAGGAATGGGTGATTTTCTCCCCTCGTGGGGGTGATTTAGGGGGGCCTTCTTCTTTCACTTGGCCTCCTGCTTCTTCCCGCCTTTGTCGTTCTTTTCCCATGCTGGCCGATCGGACTTGTCCTTGTCCTTGTTCTTTCCTTTTGCGCCCTTGGCCTTCCCTTTTCCTTCGCCGTCTCGGCCGGGACCGCGACGATCGTAGCTGCGAAGCTTTTGTTCCAGCAGCCACTCCTTTGTGACGAACATCTCTTCGTCCTTCTCCAACAACATCGAGTTTTCTGGGGGGAGAAGCTCCAGGAATTGCGCCGCCCCCCAGTGGGACTCGTGTGTAGCCCTTTCCACCGCCTTGATCCGCTGGGCTACTACGTCCGCGGCTTTGGATGGGCAGCCTCCTGCTAACAGGTCCAGGATGCGCCCAAGCGTCTTGAGCTCCCGCGTTGATCGGAGCCCCACCTTGGCCCCCAAGCTTGGTATCAAGATGGTCAGCACGTGATTCATGGCGACCACCGGTGTCTTGTTTCTCACTGAGCTGTTCGGCCCCTCCGCTCCCCTGGCGCAGGCTTGTTCCATCTTCATCAACATCCTGCACGCCAGTCGTCCGGGAAACTTGTTGGTGTACGCCAGCAACTTTTGCTGGCTGCTTTTCATGGTCGCGGAGAGGCCTTTCTGAAAAACTGAACCCTCTTCAGAAGAGTCATCGTCCTCGTCACCAAAGTCCACAGGTGGCCCACCTCCAAAGGGACCTCTGTCTTGATCTCCTGTCTTCTCCTTCACAGCCGCTCGAGGCTTGGCCTGGAAGAGCTCGTCGGCTGTCTCTTCACTGGAACTATCTCCGGACTCCTCCGGGTGACTTTTACGCTTCTTCTTTTTGCCCTTGGGCTTATCATCACTGCTCCCAGAACCACTGGATCCCTTCTTCTTGCGTTTCGACCCAGTGGCCTTGTCTTTGCGTTTCTTCTTCTTCTTTTTTGGTGGGTCCGCCTTAGACCGGTCACCAACGTCATGATCGCTGTCAGCAGCTTCCTTCTTTTTGTTCTTCTTCTTATCCTGCTTCTTAGATTTTCCTGCCTCCGCAGCCTTGCCACGGGTGACCCTCTTGGTTTCTCGACGCTTCTTGCGCCGGTCAGCAGCGTCACCCTCAGCCTTCTTGAGCTCAGCACGAAGTTGTTTGATGCGCGACTTCATGTCCTCGTCATCACTTGAACTCTCGGAATCATCGGCTCCTGAGCCCGCTGCTTCTTCGTCACTGGTCTCCTTATCTTCAGGCCCCCAGTGTGCGGTGGCCTCAGTGCGGGGGGCGCCAGCAGGCTTCTTTATGACTCCAGCTTGCCCTCGTAGAGCCTCAAACTTACCACGAGCCAGCATGTACCCGTCATAGATGTGGCGGTCCTTCAACCAAGGGACCTGCTTTGGCCCCAAAATGTCGCGGCCAAGGACCCGGTAGCGCTCTCCATGCACCATGGTGGGGCGACTTTTGTCCTCAGGGCACTCCTTAACCGGCACCCCGCACAAGTGATACTCACCCTTGTCTTTGGGTGGTGACCCTTCTTCTTCGTTCATCCACCAATGGAAGTAAACGTCCGAAGCTCCCAGAAACGTAGCTTCCACCAGCCGTCCTTGGTTGTGCCCAGCCTTGACACTGTGGATGCCCAAGAGGATAGAGCCCTGGGGGTTGCCAGCGTCATCGAAGACCTCCAGCTCCACCGTGTCCCCAGGGCTCACCAAGGGTGGGCTCCCTCGGCTCGCTCCAGCGCGGAACCAAGGCCCCATGTTACACCGCTCCCACCCTCTGACAAAGGGTGGGGGTGACCCTTAAGAAAGGTGGCCACAGAGCACGTGCATGTTAAACACCCGTGTCATTCACTTAAAAGTTCACTTCACTCAAGTTAATATATATATATATATACTACCCTCTGGTAATCTGTTCCATTTTGCTATTGAACATGGCCCATTTTCAATAGATTTACGTTATAAAATGGTGATTTTCCATGGGTTTCTGCTGGTTTTTGGAGATCATCCCAATGATCCCAACAGTTCCAGGCCACTACGGGAGGTGGAGGAGCTCGTTTGGGCGCGAGCCGCCGGAGATTGGGATGGCAGGCCATCAAGCATTCCTCATGGCGCCCCGTGCCACGAAGAGTTGCGGAACACCGGAACCACCAAGTGAACTGTGCCGGAACCGCTTCGCGATTGCTACATCCCATGATATCCCACCCCAAAAAACATGACATCTCAAAAAACAACATGAACTCCAACAAACAAAACATGACCTCTCCCCCAAAAACATGAAATCAGAAAACAAAAACATGAGATCAAAAAAAAAAAATCCAAAAAACATGAAATCCCAAAAAACATGAATTTCACCCAAAAAAACATGAAATCAAAAACAAAAAAAAACATGAAATCCCACTACATTCCATTGATTCCCATTCAATTCACTTTAAACCACCCAGCGTTATGATTGGCGCGAAGTCGCTGGAGGGATCACGTAGCCATCTCCTCCGGCAACCGGGGATGTTTGGTAGTCCTTGTGACTGCTAGCAGTAATCATGGTTACAGCTAGTGGATATGATATATATATATATGTATCACGTACATACATATACACATATGGATATATATATATATATGAGTATCACATATATATATATGAGTATCACACACATATATATATATATATGTAATTATATGTGAATTCCGATTCATCCGAGCCTTTGTCCATTCGATTGTCTTTAGGGTACAAGGAGATATGAACGAAGGTTCATGACCTGCCTTGGACATGGTGGCTCAAGGGCCCATACTTCAGGACGCTAACGGGGAGAAATAGCAGCGTGTGTCGCCATTGCGGACTGGTGATTGGAGGACTATTTAGGTCTTGGAAAGACTGTCTGTTTCCATCATTGTTGTGGCCAACAATTACATACATATTTGGTTTCTGTGGACAGAAGTTCATTTGGGAATATCATAGCTACCTCGTGGACGAGGTCAACACTTTCAGGAGGCTACCAGTGTGGCTGGGGAACCTTGACCCAGTCATACTGGTAGCGGAGCCAGTTGGCTCGTGCTGCCAGGTCTTTGCACGAAAAGCCGGAAAGTTGAGGATCCATTGAAGTGTCTGAGGTAGCCATGTCCGAAGGCACATCCGAAGAGAAGTCGGCGATAGGCCTGTGGAGCCAGTTGCCAAGTTTTGACCCAAGCATCGATGACATCCGAGAGTTTTCACAGAAAGCCCGTTTTCTGCACGGAGTGTTCCCAACCAAAGACAAAGGGAACCTGGCTCCACGCCTTGCTATGCTCTGCAAGGGGACAGCCTGGTCCCAAGTACGCCAGCTTGACCCTCAAAAGCTGACCGAACCTGACACGGGAGTTGAATATCTCCTAGAAGCGTTGTCAGCGTGGGAGGAAACCTCTGAGTTGAAGACTTTCGAGTTGTTTGAGAAATGTTTGTACAAAGTGACCCAAAGGAGCGATGAAGCAACACACAGCTATGCCTTGCGACTCCATGCAGCCTTCAATGACCTAGGAGGCAAAATCACAGTCCAAGACATGCAAGCTTTTGTTTTGTTGAGACAGTCGGGGTTGTCCAACGAAGACAAGAAACGTGTACTCTCCATGACAAACGGAGAGTTGAAGTTGAAGTCGGTTGAACAGGCCATGAGAACTCTTTCGACCAAGGTGTTGCTCAGCTCTGGTGAGCCACGCAAGAAGATCTACCCAACCAACTATGTCGAACCATGATGATGAGACACCAATTCAAAGCACCTACAGTGCCATGACGGAGGACGAGGACGTTCTTCCATCTGAAACGCTGGAGCAGATGGCTTTGTCTGGTGATGCAGATGCGCTCACAGTGCAGCAGTTCGAGAAGGACTTTGAGGAAATGATGCAAGATGTGCCGGATTTGCAACAGGCACTCCTGACATATCAGGAGGCGAGACAGCGGATCAATGACCGCCGCCGTGGAAGAGGGTTTTGGCCGTCGAAATCCAAGGGCAAGGGATTCAACCGTGATGCCATGTCAGGAAAGGGCTTCCGAAAAGGGGGTCAACGAAGTGGAAAAGAAGAGCTTTTAGCTCGTATCAGCCGCACTCACTGCAAAGCATGTGGTCAGATCGGCCACTGGAAAGCAGAATGCCCTCTTCGAAAAGATGCCCCTCGCGAACAGGCCAATGTCGTGCAGCCGGAACCCGAAGTTGATGGACCAGTCAGTTCCGACTTGCCTCAAGTGATCTTCGAAGACATCCAGGCGGGAGTTGAGAAGTTAGAAGTTTGTTGTTTTGTACAAAGTTCCAAGCATCCGAGTCCCATTGTCTTGTCTGCCGATGTCCGTAGGAGAGCCGTCGACTTCCTTAAGTCCAGAATGGGGAAATATCGTAATCAGAGGGATAAGCAGGACATAAGGGGTAAGATGGGGAATAAACGTAGCATGCCCGTCAAGAGTTGCAACAACAAGCTCCCAGGAGTCCGAAGAAGCTCCCTGGACAGCCGTCGATGCCCATCAGTGAAGCCGAATGTCTTGCCAGCCAGACAGTCCATCGAGTGACTTGCACAGCAGGTCTTGCCATACTCGATACGGGTGCCAGTAGGAGTGTCGTAGGATCAGAGCATGTGCCCGATGTCCTGCAAAAATTGTCACCTGCTGTCCGGTCACAAATCCGTGAAGTACCCAGTCATGTTGGTTTTAGGTTCGGGAACAATCAAACGGCCTATAGCTTCAAGCAGTTGCAGATTCCCCTCAAGCATGGAAATCAAAGAATTTGGTTGCTTGTTGAAGTTGTCCCGAAAGCCACTCCGTTTTTGATCTCCATCAAGACCATGAAAAGCCTGGGAGCCCACATAGATCTCAACAAGAACACTTGCTATTTGCAAAAGTTGAATAGGTCTCTGCCTCTTGTGGAAAATCAAAATGGATTGTTCATGATCAACATGTCAGACCTGTGTGAAGAATCAGAATCCGACAAAGCAGCAGCTTTTGTCGCATCAAGCACTCCGATTCGAGCACCCCCAGGACTTGATCCGCCTGAGTCCTGTGACCATGCCGTCCAGACAGGAAGTTTTCGAGGGCCTTCGAACGTTGTCGGAGGAGGTGATGGAGAGCCTTCGGATCCTGTTCTTCATGATCTTTGCATTGACCAAAGCCATCAACCCAGGAGAGAATGTCCCGGACCACGAAGTGAACCCAATTCACCAGCTGGTTCAAGAAGTTCGAGTCCAACGCCAGAAGATCAGCGAGCTTGGCCAAATCATCACCAACAAGATGATGGATCCTCACAATCGATCCAGTGGACCACAGTCTCCCGACACAACCGTCGGTTCCGAGGTTTGGGAGTTGATGGAGGAAGAGGAATTGCAACACTCCGCAATGGGCCTGAACAAGTCAGGGTCAGTGGTCCCAGGTACTTCACAAGTACCGATGATGATACCACAGACTATGCCAATGCCGAGTCCAGCAGTTCCAAAGACACCAACCAAGACCGCCGGCATCCCTCTTGCTGGTCGCCAACCCCAAAGTTCAGCTGCGGCAAGTATGCCCGGAGTGAACGCCAACAGTCAGGTGGCTCTCACTCAACAGGCTTTGGACAACTGGGGCCAAAAGAAGATCACATGGGGAAAGAAGCATCCGGGCAAAACCTTTGTCCAGGTGTACGAAGAGGACGCCAACTACGTCAAGTGGGTACTGGCTCGTATCGGAAGTTTGGGAGAGGAAATCGAGGACTTCGCCAACTATGCGGTGACACGTCAACGGCTCGAGGTAGCAGCAATGAATGCCCCGCCGTAGACTCAGCATGGCAGCCGATTCCAGAAAAGGTACATCTGAAAATCAACCATGATGCCTATGTAACCACTGCCGAAGAAGTTCAATGGTTAAAGGAAGTCCATAAGTTGATACGTAAAGGCAATAACCACTGTCAACAACTTGATGTACTTGAAGTTTATGCATATGAAGATAGCAAGTTAACTCAGGTAGCACAGGCATGTGGTTTGAAAGCACGCAGATTCACAAAAGAGGATGGTGATCTTTCAACGGCCGAAGGCCGCAGCAACCTGTTGATGACAGTCATGTTGTGTAAGCCCAAGCACCTCTGGTTAGCTCCAGAATGTGCCCCATGGTGTGCCTGGAATCGATTTAATGCAGCCCGCAGTGCATCCGGATTCCAACGTGTCACTCACGTCCAAGAGGAGTCCAGGGTCCATCTCAAGCTGTGCAACTTGCTGTTCAAGATACAACAATCAAATGGTTGTCACACTCACTTGGAGAACCCTTGGACATCCGACATGTGGAATCAGAAAGAGCTTCGTGAACTTTTGCAGGGGTCTCTGGCCGCACAGCTAGATCAATGTATGTTTGGATTGCGTCATCCAGAAACAACTGACGCCATGCAAAAGAGAACTAGGATCCAAACGACATCCAGGACAGTCTTTGAGGGATTAGATCATAGACTATGCAACCATGAACACAAACATGAACAAATAGCGGGGAGATGTCACTGGAGAGGAAGATCTATCCTAGTTTCCCAGTTTGCAGGCCACTATCCGTCCATGTTTGCGAAGGCTATAGTGAAATGTATACTAAAAGATAACTCGAGTCCCATGGAAAGTCCAGCATATCATGTCGATGATGAACCAGTGGAACCTCAGCACAAGAAAGCTAGGACAGCCTGTCCAGAACAGCCTGATGTCGACATGGAAGATGAAGACAGCAATCCATGGAAACCAGTACTTGAGCAGGTCCGTAGTGATTTGCCCAAGTCCGGGATCAAAACCTGGAC